GTGTTGTGTCTCTTCCAGTTGTAGGAAAACCTTCCAACCCCCGGGTATAAATTCGAATAAAGGATTAGTGAACTCCCTCGTGCCAGATATGGCTTCAAACATGGTAGAACCATTCTTATGCCATTTTCTTGTACTGGGCCAGTTCCACCAATTTGCATGGCTTCACTGTTAAGTACTGAGGCATTTTGACCTGCTATAGGCCTCGAAATAAGTTCATATCACGACTGAGGTGATGGTCTTTCATAGTTTTGATTACTAGTTTAGAATGTCTATTAATTTGCATAGGCTGTTTATCTCTAGCCAATCTTTGCTGAGGGACATTTGAAATTTCCTCCATGTGTCTTGTGTTTGTTGGTTGATGGGTATTCATTCGATCCAAAAAGGATGTTATCTATATTTCCATTGTGTTCATTAACTGCTGTCCCATGGCATCTACTAGGCCACCCCATGGATTCATTGGCTGAGTAGATAGAACAGTGGATGGTCCAATTCCTTGGCCTTGTCCAATATTATGAACATATGATACTTGTTCCGAAGTGCTGGTTTGTTCGACCATAGGTTCTGATAAAATGGGTGTTTTCACAGGATGTGTTATCACATTATCCTCTGGATTAGGTATTTCTACCTATCTTTCCACGTCTTCTTCCAAGCGTTCATTTTCTCCTTGTCTTCTACGTCTAGCCATTTCAATTAGTTTCACCGGGCGTGCCAAAAATATATGTTGGCTTTTTGGCTTTCGAAGGTTATTATTGTAATTATGAGCGTGCTAGCAAGGATCAATCAGTCCTTATAGAATGTTAATTGCCAACCAATTATCAGACGATTGTGTTTTAGTTCTTTCAGCCTTAATGAAGAGGACTTTTACTAGTGGCTTGATTTAGGAGAATTAAGCAACCAACAATCAAATGAAGAACAATTGAAGCATTTTATTAAAATGAAAAATTTACAATGATCCAATTCAGCCTCGTAGAAGTTTACAGCAACAATCTACTTGAAACTACTCCTATGAACGAAGTGCAGTGCAGGAATTTGAAGTACAGAAATGTAAAGAACAAGAAATGTAAAAACTAGAAAGAAAATAAAGTAAATAAAACTGATTTTTTGGATCTGAGTCTGGGGTTTTTTTTTGGGGCCTTTTCTGCTATTTATACTTTTCAAGAATGACCATCGAACTGCACTTCTAATCGTCGAATCGTTCCTCCATGGTCGCTGATCATGTTGCCTTATAGGTAGCTCCACTATGCCATTACCTGCAATTAGGCTTCCCTCCTGATTTTGAATTTGAATGTGAGTAACCGTTGAAGCCACATCACTTTGCATCTTTTTGCTGATTCAGCGCTACGCAGATCTTGTAAGAACCAATACTAACTGCCACGTGTACGATCACGATCAAAAACTTGAATAGTCTTCCCGTATGGCCCTTATCCTACCACGCGTTGAATTGTAATTAGCTTATACAAAATATGTAGCCAACAATAACATAGACCGAATCATCAATATCTAAAATTTCATGCAAAGCAAAAGCAATACAAGCAGACCAATTTGAAGGGAACTAATGAGCTCTAAAATAACCCATTACAGCTTATGTTTCTTAGTGTGTGTTACATGGCAAAAAGTGATGAAATGAGACTGAATTATCTGTGCTAAGATTTGTTAGTTTAGTGAGTGTGTAGGTGTTGTAACGAAGATGTTAAGGTTGTGTTCAATAAGAGTGGGATCTATTCAAGTATATATGTGTTTGTAAACAAAATAAAATGGTTAAATAATTCAAAAATAAAATGCCCCATCACCCTAACTTTTCACTTGCCTCTCGCTCGCACCACATATACTACTGCTTGCCCCTTTTTTTCTCTCTATCTCATTAGATGTTAACTCACTCTTCACGGTTAACAAGTAAATTAACATTTGAACAATTTAATGTATGAATAACAAATATGATTACCACAATAAGATATCTTCTTCATTTCTCTTTCATGGGGTCTTTTGGGAAGCAAAAAAAAAAAGCCAGTTTTTAACTTTTTATTCATTTTGGGTCATATCACTTCTCATATTTTTAATCCATAAAAAGACAACATAGACTAAAAAAGTCAAAAAACCAACTTTTTACTAACTTCCCAAAACACCACTATGTTGTTTATGGGATTTATTATTTTGAAATTATAGCTAATGATTATATTTGAATTTTATTTTTTTCCAAAACCGAACATAAGAGTTTCATTTCATCAAGATGCTCGCGAATTAAAGTATTAAATTTTTTTAATTTGAATTAAGTTATTACTTGGAGCTTCTAAATACACTTGCTTAATTCCCATCATATATGCATTTGTAAAATTTGAATTTGTGGGTGCAGAAAGAAAGTAATCAACAAATCTTTGGGGAGCTTGGTGTAATTTCAGAAAAATGAGAGGTTCTTGTAATTGTTAGAACCTCAGGGGAGGTCAGTCTAATTTACATAAAAAAAATATATATATATATACAATATTAAAAATAAAAATAATAAAAAAGGAACGCCAAACCCGACCCGAAACAAAACGGAGATCCATCTGATGTCGGATCCTCTGCACTTCATAAACCCCATTTATCCAATTCCAGCTTCGTTGGCGGCACTCACACTGAAAAACGAAAAAAATAATCGAGAGAAGCTCCGATTTGAATCTCAGCTTGATGGTAACGTAATCACAGTGCTCTCTCTCTCTCTCTCTCTCTCTCTCTCTCTCCATGTAGTGTTTATGTGTTGCTGTGTTGAAAGAAATTGAAAATTAGTTGAGTATAGGGTAGACATTTGAACTTAACTGAATAATTGTTTCAGGTTTGTTAAGTGGGGGGTTTTCTTTTTTTTGGCTGATTAATTAAGGATATAATATTGAAATGTTTAATTTATTTTATTTTTCATGGCTTTTCCTGCAACAGAAAAAAAGTGCAAACTGTTTAATTAGGAAAGGGATTGGAGGGTTGTAATTAATCAGTGACATGGAAAAACAAAAACCCAATCGTGCAATTCGGCTGGTACTATGAGTTCATTATATTTAACTGATCAGCATATGATTAGGGTTAGTACAAATTTGATTGGAGTTTGTTTATCTATACCTTGTAATTGGAATTGGAGACCATCCTACTTCAAAATTTGTACTAATGGCATCTAATTCTAATAAAAAATCCTGTTTTCCTGCTTCCAAACACAGTGTTATTTCGGGATACTGCTCTAGTAAAGGTGATAAAGAACTTACTGTAAAATATAGGTATTTGTGAGTTTAGATATGTTGAATTGTTGCTTTTATCGCATTTTTTCTAGAATTTTTTTTTTTTTGGCAGATGATCTGTCTGTTAAATTCACTAGTGTATGAGAAATGTCAGTATGAAAAGAAATGGAAAAAAAAAAAACAACTCAACTAAGCCCTTTCCAACTACTTGGTGTCGGCTACATGAAATCCTATTACACCATTCCACTTGATCAAATGCTGTGTTTCAGTTAAATATCAAGGTATCTCAACCCATCTTTGTTTTTGTCTTTTATACCCCCACACAATACCTATAATCTCAATGTGAAAAAAGAGAGAAAAAAAATCCTATCCTGTGCATGCCACTGAATGGAATTGACCCTGAAGGTCTCATAGAGTGCTACGAACCTAGGACTTGAATGCTTATGAGGCATATCGTGCAACATCCACAGATCACTGATTGGTTAAGTATAGTACATTGGAACACGTAACAATGGCAAGCACGTTTCATCCTAGCTGTAGAAAATGTGTTTTTATAATTTTACAGGAGCTCATCTTATTGCCTCCTTTTCACTTGAGTTACCATTTTCTCTTAATAATAGTTGGCATGGTCATTGCAATGTTATGTTAAGAGTGTCATCTAAATAATGTTCTCAAGTAGTACTTATGCAATTCTTAAAGTCATAGAATGATGGAGTAGATTGTTATGTTGTAGTTTAGTTGTATGAGAGTGGAACACGACTCTGTTGGGATAGTAGAACCTAGGATTGCTGCTGCTTCCATTAGCATGTTGGACACAAATTTCGTTATATATCTTCCTTTGACTACATAGGGCGACATTAATGGATGGAATCCTTTGTTATAATTTAGTAAATTTTGATCCTTGAAATCAATAACTTGACTATCTTTCCAATGTATGACTAGGTGAAATCAGAAACCTGAGTTGCAACAGCAGAAAGTTTCAGGTGAGTCTTTAGGACCTGTATGATGCTCAGATATTGTAGAATTGTAAGGCTTGTACCTCAATAAATTTGCAGGCACCAGTATTCTTAGAATCGCACCCTCATCCTTCTTCTTCTTCTTTTTTTTTTTCCCCTGTTCTAATTTACTCATACTTGCAGTGCCTTCTAGTTGAACCATATCCCTCCTCCTCACAGGTGCAGTATTAGTTTTTGTCACACATTACCAAATTTACCTGCTGACTCCTTGGGGTGCTATTCTGTAGTTTTGTGAATGCGTTTCTTTAAAAAAATTCTTTCTGTATCATTAATCTTGATGTCTCAAGATCATTGTCTCTTTAGTTAAAAATAGCAATTGTTTATGAAGTTCAAGAACTAAGACTCTTTTCTTGTCTTTTCATCTTTTAGTTTACCATGTAATTTCCATACCAAAAAAGTCGATAGGAAAATCTTATTTCTGCATTAACATAGTCTGATATAAGAGCCCACCAGTAGAGTTAATCTTTTTGGTCACTGATCTTCCTGAATCAATTAAGAGAGTTCCAACATTTTCTATATAGGGCTCATTTCTATTTATTTGAAGAAATAATGATGCATCACTGAAAACTTGTGAAGATGTATTGTTGGTGTATGTCTATTAATATAGGGGGTTGAATATTCTCAGATTGCTGATTATATTTTTTCCTTAGGAAGGTCACCCTCTCAATATTTGCTTCATCACTTTTGTACCTTTTGTACTTAGAATTAAACTAGTAGGAAAAACTGTTTATCTACTGTCAGTTGTGTTTCCGGGTAGTCTACCAGACACCAATGGAACAACGTAATTCTTTGCACTTTGACAAGGAAACCAAATTTATCTTATATATATATATATATATAAATGGGAGCATCAATATGCTCTGAGTACCTTTTTACTCCTTGTTGAGGAATGGAGCTTAAAAAAGTCAACCACAATTTGTTCCAGAATCGAGGACAGGTGAAAACATTCTCATTTGATAAGAGAGATTTTTTTTCTCAGCATCTATATATAGTTCAAATAGCTTAAATACTTAATTTGACTAGCAAAATAGTGTTATAATTTTGTTGTGTCTCTTTTATTATACCAGTTGCCTGCCTCATACACAGCTTAAATACTGAATGTAACTGGAAAATACGTGTAAAAACTCTCTTAAATTAAACCAGTTTCCTGCTATTGTGCATTAGGCACATTGTGAGTTGTTGCTTGTAGAAATTTGTCTTATGAATTGTTACATATTTGTCTATTCTGATTGTAGGTCCTAATGATCATAAAAGGTTTGTTCAGGAGATATGAAAGATGGAATCCAGTGCATCCAACATCTGGAGCTTTTTGGGGCATGGGAATAGGCATTGGTTGTGGGGTTGGATGGGGTCCTGGCTTTGGTCCTGAGGTGATTGGTTATGTTGGAGCTGGCTGTGGTGTTGGATTTAGTGTTGGCATCACTCTGGCTGGTTTCGGCATTGGTCTCCCTGCAAATTATGTCTTGGAAGTTCCTTATAACGGTACTCACATCATTTTGTAATTTACTTGTTTTTATGGTTTCTCTGTATCTGTGGCTAATTGTGAAGTTATGTTTTACACTCCTATCTACCTTAAGGCAACATGAATGCTAAAATGCATAATTGGTATATTGGAGTTTAGCTTTAGAACAAGCCGTAAACTCGGATGTATTAGGTTCAATTCTGGCTGGTTGTCTCCCAAGCTTAACTAAGGCACTGTTTGACATGTGCTAAAATACCATGACATGTGTTAAAATAGCACATGCTATTTTAGCACATTATCTTATTTGGGTTACATTCATTTCATTTGAGTCGTGTAACTTCTCTACCACATCACTTCAAACCTAATCCATACTTTATGTTTTTTCATAAAAAGCCAAAAAGTATACTAATTTAGCACATGCCAAACACCCTCTAATAATACTTGTGGTTTCTTGGTATTGTAGGTATCTTTTTACTCTGAACGGTGGGTCCAAATGGCCCTTCCTTGGGGATGTTCCTCGTCATGTAATAATAATAATAATAATAATAATAGAGTTTAGCTTTGTGCTTGTACACCAGTTGATAGAAAAATGTGCCTGTACTTCTGTGAGTGTTCAATTGTATTTGAGTGTCCAAAGTTGATCAACACTTTGTTTTTTCTTCTCTCTCAGCTTTTATGGCTGCAAGAAGTGGTGCATTGGAGTTTGCTCGATCCAGTGCTCTTCTTAGTGTGGGAAATGGGTGGAGTAATATTAGCCCACACTTCTCTGGCTTACAAAGGAAAGCACTTAGAAGGTTTTCTAGCTTCAAGCATAAAGATTTATATGACAAAGTGGTAAATTTTTCGGACATGAAGAGTGTAATGTCTTCCCATACTAGTGCTATTGTGAATCATTTACAGAAATTTGGTGCTCGCTTCCATCCTCATAAAGGTATGCAGATGAATGCAACCCATTTGAAGTAAACCTAAGGACATATAATTGTTCATTGTCTGGGATCTATATCTACTAGCTATGTTACATGGACTCGGGTACGGGTGTCGGGTGCGGGTATGTATCTAGAGGTCGGACTCATCAAATCATAAATTTAAGGATACGCGGACTCGGCAAAAAAATGTCATATTTTTATATTTTTAATCTAATGTGTGAGATAAAATGGTATTATATTTAACTTATAGTGTCAAAATGACATTTATAGCAATTATACAACAATATGTACATATAATAATAGTGTTATATACAATTATATAAGAAATATCCGTTGAAAAGTATCCGACACATATCTCATACCCTTGTCCGAGTGTCGGGTGTCCGACACGGGTATTTGATTTATTTTGAAGAGTCCATGTAACATAGTCTACTAGTTGGATTGACAGATCTCTGGTGATCTTTGTCATCAACTTTATGAATTTTGTTCTGGTTGTATGTCGTTAGGTTATGGGGCCAAGTAATCCACCAAGTAAGCTCTCCCTAACACCAATGGGTTTTAGGTGACCTGGTAGTGAGCACTGTGGACTAACCACCGATAGTGCACTGACTGCCACCATACAAAAGCTGAAGTTCTCCCAAACACCAATTGGTTTTAAGTGAACTGGTGAAAGTTGGGACCAACATATATGATTCTTGTCACTCACTTTGTTCAATTGTGCTCTAACTATTCCAATGGAGGGTTCCTTTCACTGTAACTAAAATTGCAAGACGGATAGTGTTAACTTATGGGCTCCACAATCATTCTTCTCCTTTCGTTTTCTGTAAATATTATTTCATCTAAACATCCTGCATGTTTCGAAAGTACAAAGTAGAAAATAAAAAGATAGGGTATGCCATCAAAAGATTGTTGTTGAATCATTTTTTTTTTCCAATCCTTGCATTCTACATTATTCTTACGTTTTCAATTTATTTTCTTTGATTGGTTGAGAAATTGAATTAAAAAAAAAAAAAATGACATTTACATTACCTATTTGCAGGCTTGAAAGATTGATGTCATGTAGGAATCTCATTCTCTGGACCATATTGTGAAGAATTTTACCATTGGACTCTCAGTTCTCCTTTTTCTTTTCTTCTTATTATTGTTGATTACAAGCCTTCTTGTATGTTCTTCCCTGTGAAATGTTCACCAGCTTCACAAATTGTCTCTACTCTGAAGAGAGATGAAAAAGTAAAATATTGAATTTGAAAAAAGAAAAGTTATGCTCTACTCAGCATGTGGCATTACCGGTCATCAACAAGCACAGGCAGAGAACAGAGAACTTTCCTGAATGTTGGTATATGTATTGAAAAAACATCACAGCCTGACAAAAGCAGGGGTGAAAACTTTGGTAAAGAAATGAAAGGAAAAGTAGCATTTCTCATTTTTTTACCACAAAGGTTTGCTTCTCCTAAGTGCAAAAATGTTCTTTGGAGTCTCGTTTCCGTGCCCATGCTAGAGAGAACAAGAATATAGCTTCTTGCAATTTTAAGAATAATCAATGGATGTATTGTTTGTCAACATTTTCTTCAGTGCAGATACCACACTTTTGTGTAAACCATCACTGTTGGACAAAAAATTAGATTGAAGGATTGATTCCTTGGCTCCACAAACAGATGCAAGGAAGTTTATTAGGCCAGTGTGCCCCCAAAAGAAATTCCTCTCTATTATATATAGTTAATCTAGAAAATGAACATCGACATTGTCAATGCGAGTGCAATTGGAGGTTTGAGTTTGATTTCGTGAATGGTCTGATGTAGAAAGGGTAGCCAATGCATTACAAGCGACAATTTATTGCTACATAACTGAAGAAGAGCCTTACTAAAAATCTTAATTAATCACATGTGTCCAACCTTCATTGGATATTCATTGAATGATTAAGTACCAATATAATATTTTTTTTTGACAATAGATCATATTTAGTCTCTCGTATTTTTAATAAGAGTGTTTGTGTCTGTAGAATTCCATTGACGACTGTCATGGATGACTTATAAGAGGCAATTTTGAGATTCTATTTCATCTCAAAGAGAAGACTTTGAGGTTAGCATTATATTAGAATAAAAACAGTTTTGCTTGTGATTAGGATGGGATTTGATTTGATCTTTTAAAAGTAGATTTGATTCTTAATTGCTGTGTTTTTCATATGGAATCAACCCTGTAATAGCTTACGGTGGCACGCTCGATTAGAAATTTAATAAAATTATAGATAGTTGGTCACCTTCTTCCTCAATCTCATAAAATTGGTGGTATGATAGCTCTTGTTTCTCCACTTTAATTTTATCAACTAATGGATTAATACGTCACATTTTATTACTTGTAATATTTGCTATATTCTATAAGATGAATGATTCAGATTGCAGAGTTGGCCAAGATGGAACTACTAAGACCAAATACTCTCTCTGGTTGGTGAACTGGAGAGAAGCTCACACTTTGTTTTATGAAGCAATGTATGCCTAGTATGCAATTTTGGTAATGGACCCTACCAGTTCATTTCATTAACAAATCCAAGAGAGCTATGGTGAAAAAAGAAAGAAGGATCAAACAAGAAAAAGGACCATGCACAACAAGAATGTAAGCATACCAACTTCTCAAAGTACATACAACCGACAATAGAATACGGTTATTCAACAAGATTACAAAGCAACCAGACAATCTCTTATGCTATAAAGTTTAAATACAATACCCTTTTGAATTGAATTGGATGCAAATTTCAATCTAAATACCCTTTTGAATTGAATTGGATGCAAACTTTAATTTCCAACCCCAACCAATCTGCCTCAGAGAGCTGATATACTGGTAGCTGAGGCAATTTTACCTTCTCTAGTTCAGAAACCAGATTTGTTCCTAGTCACACTGGATGATAACTATCAACTTTCCACTTTCAACTTCAATCAATCTGTATTAAATGATAAATCATAATAATTATAAGAAGAAGATGATGATGCACTAAATTTTACCACAGTAGCTTTATCATGAATAACAAATGATTTCAGTTTATATCACAACATCAAATGATGCAATTTAAAATGAAAGAACATAACCTTGTCAACACCATGCCACTAACATTTATGTTACAACTCAGGTATGGATATCAGGTGCAGATATAGTATATGAGTATCTGATTCATCTGGTTCTCATTTCCAAAGATACAAGGATACAACAAATTAATATTTCTTACTACAATTTTGTTTTCTAAGTAAAATAATGTTCACAAGGTGTGATAGAGCAGCTATTCATGCATAGTATGGGGGGTTTTATGCACAGTTTTATAGTTAACTCGGACTACTATATATGTTTGTTAGGTAAATGTCAAACTACACGTCTGACACAGGTACTTCATACATTTAGAATTATAAGAGTCTATGTAATATAGCACCATATTTCCAATACCTTGCACAAATGTAAAGACAAAACAGAAAAGGAAAACTATAGCAGTACCTGTGATGACTCATGATGATGGTCCCCCACAAAAACCTAAGATAGGCTTTCAAATTTGCAGAATGATGTTGTCTGCTGGTAGTGGTTGATCACTGGGATGTGGCGAACTCTTGGATGATCAAAGCTTTCTTCTCCTCGTATGCTATTGACAAGTTCATCTGAAACATCTTTCAGTTCCAGTTCTTGGAGGTTGGTGAGGTACTCAATGCCAAGGGGCACCTTCTTCAATTTGGTACATACACACAGACTTATGCGTGAGAGGCTTGGCATCGCACCCTTCTCAATTATTATTTCAACTAATTCAGGGGAAACAAGTACAGACAAGTGCTGAAGCTTAGGAAAGCCTTCATGGAAGCACAATTTCTTTATGCCATGATCATATGCATTGACAAAAGCAAGGCGCTCCAAATTGGGCAATGCATTTATGTACGGAATGGGATCCTCCATCAGCCGGCTCCAATGCAAATGCAAATGGACAATACTGCTAAGTGAACTAAACCAAGGAGGCACACAATTTAATCTCCCAATTAGAGTGAGCTTCCTAAGAAGTGGAGGAGGGGATGATAAAGCATCCATCCGAAGGGTTTCCTCTTCATTGGATACCATTACCAGTAGATGGCGAAGGAGTTTAAGCTTTTGGAGTGAGGCACACAATGCTAATTGATCTTCTTCTTTCACCTTTGTAAGCCCTATCCTTTTGAGTTGAGTCATGTTCCCAATTCCCCTAATTATGTCGCCATTTGCTTCAACAGAGGTTAGGACTTGCAAGTTCTTTAACTTCAAGACGTCTGCTGGAACTTGCACCCCTATCATATAGGTAAATACTTCCTTTCCAGTATCACCATCATAAGCAAGTAAATGGCGCAAATTGTGCAACTTACCTAGCCCCTCTGGAAGTGCCTTCACCATTGTGTTCCGAAGATCCAGGGTTTGCAGATTCATAAGCCTTCCCAAGGATTTTGGGAGCTCCTTTATACGAGTTCCTTTTAGATTCAAGTACCTCAAATTGAATAATTTACCTATTGTTCTGGGTACACTATCAATTGGCACATCTCTCAGCTCTAATACCCTTAATAATCTAAAACCAGATAGAAATGGATCTAATGGAAAGGTATGGCACTTGTCAAAATGAAAAGCAAAGAAAGAACGAACCTGTGACATATCAGTTCTGCACAGCTGAAGTATTGCATGACCAAACGTGTGAATGGAGAAGCGGCGATCAATTCTTTCATCTTTTATTCCCTGTGGATCATATATAGAACAGAAATGATCTTGTTCAGATACAGAAAGTGCAAGCTCTCGCATTAGATCATGCAGTTTGCATAATTTGGGCCTCAAAAAAGTGTTGTTCTTCCTTGTAACTTGGAGCAGGCTTCGGGAGATGAGTTCTTTAAGATAGCCTTTTGCAACCTCCTCTGGTGTGAGACCTTTCCTTTCTTCTACAAACCCTTCAGCCATCCATAGTCTTACAAGTTTATGTGCTGAAATCCAATGATTGCTAGGAAAAAGACAGCAATACAGAAAGCAATTCTTAAGGTAGTATGGTAAGCCATTGAAGCTGAGCAACAAAATGGCTTTCACCACTTCGAGCTTGGAATCTTTGCACAAATGCCAATTGAAACTGTCATAGACTGCCCCCCATTTCAGTTCTGACTTGTCTTTTGAAGCCATGAGACCACCCATTGCCTCAACAGCAAGTGGTAGACCCTCACATTTTTTTACGAGGGCCCAAGCAAGGTTTTTTAAATATGGAGGACAGTGATTATTAGGTTCACTGGCAAAAGCCTTCTTGCAAAAAAGGATCCAAGCATCACAATCCTCAAGAGGATTATGCTGGATAACATGGCATGCAACTCCATAAGGGTAAGATGCTATGTCTCTGTTTCGGGTTGTTAGAATGATTCGGCTTCCATTTCTACCATCTAGAAGTACAAGTTTAATTTGACTCCAAAAATTAACATCCCATACATCATCTAGAACAATGACATACCTTTTCTGTTGCAGGAACTCCACTAGAATTTCCATCAACTGTTTGTAACCCATGGAGCTTAAGCTTGATGGTACTAATTCTTTCCTTCCGCAAAAAAGTTCTTTAATCATCTTTCTAAGCAGGTCCTCAATCACATAGTGCTGGGAGACAGTAACCCACACGTAGCAGTCAAAACACCGCTTCACTGCTTCATTGTTGTAGGCTTTAGCAACCAGAGTTGTCTTACCAGAACCCCCCATGCCCCAAACTGAAATGACAGTTCGTTGCATTTCTCCTTCAATCAACAACTTCAATAATGAGTTTATTTCCTTCTGAATCCCCACAACATCGTCATCATTAATAAACAATGCAGACTCTGCAAGGTTCTGTACCGATGTTGGAGCAGCATGTGAGCTTTGACCTTCTTCTATTCTACCAAATTCATATCTTTTGCTCCTTTTTGCAATGGCCTTGATCTCGGCACTGATCTCCTGCAACTTGATGGCAGTTCGATGCTTCACCAGGAGTTCCTTGGGGAGGTGAACAACTCTTCCAAGGAAACTCCTGAAACCACCACCTCTGTTTAGTTGGCCACCCATATGATACATGAACTCATCAATTATGTTTTCAGCCTTGTATGCTATGTCCCTTACTTGTGTCACCCATAGTCTCAACCCTTCACTATCATCTTTGAACTCATCTGCATCCTTCAAGAATGATCTCGTGCTTTCTAGTTCAAGCTTAAGCTCATTGATTTCACCACGGACTGCTCCTAACGAGGCTGCTTCTTTCTGAAGAAGGGATCCAATGCTCCCAACCAAGAATTGTACAGCAGTGTCAGCCATATTTGTTATCTTAAAGGATCTCTCAGGAAAGAAGTTATACCTTCCTCCTCTCTCCTTTGTTCTCTCTGTATATAAGATTGTTGAAGAACTGTGCGATGTCTAAGTGACGTAAATTAACAGCAATGCTAGGTATAATGAAAAATCTTTCATGAAAATAATCATGAAAGTTTTGTAACCCTTGAATTGCACTTAGAATAAAGCACCACACACTAATCAAGGTAATCCAAGAATCATAAATTTTTCATGATCATTTTCATGAAAAAATTTTCATGATCCCTAACTTTTCCCGTAAATTAATATAACCATGAAACCCACTAACAAAATAATTATGCCAAAAGCTTGTGTCATGTTGTTGACGAATAAATTCCATTCTTATCAGAGCATATTAGAAAGCTTTCCACCTAAATCTACAGGAAGATCTCCTAGTGTGCCTCAAGAAAAAAATGATTCCATGTCGTCTGTGCAAAACTTCAATGGCAAATAGGTACATAAAATTATCAAATATTTTCAGACGTCTTGATAGAATTAAAAAAAATATATATATATATATATGTAACGGTAGATGGATCAATTAAAACAAATATATTTCCTTCAACAATATAGATTGATCCAGCAACTTTTGAGTTCTCTATATTTGACTTAATGAATAGCTTGAAACTACACCCAACAGACAAACATATAATGGAATGAATAAAATCATCTCACTGCACTAATCTTCTCGGTAAGTCACTGAGTCACCATATCAAATGAATCACATCTTAGCTTCCCATCTTTCAAGGAGAAATACTACACGACCAAAACTGGCCAATGGTATCTGCTTGCATGCCATCATAATAAGAGGAAATCAATCCCGAGTGAGGAGGGTTCCATTAGAAATAATTTCAACCAACATTAACGCCCCATTTGTTTCGGCTAAATACATTTTCTAGAATATGTTTTCTGCATTATTTTATGTCTGGTACGACAGTAAATGTAAGTAAATGGAAAACATTTTTCATGATTAACCAAATATGAACTGACTCTGTTGGAAAACATTTTCTCCTTTTCAAAGGTGGAAAACATTTTTCGAACTATAGTCTTGCACTATGTTACTTGAATTGTGAATTGTTCCAATACGAGGAAGGAGAACGGGAACAGGAACATGGACGTGGTATGCCATATGCTCTATATGATAAGAGTAGGCTTGTATAGACCACACTATTGGGATTTAAGGATCTTTTAACTGCAAGAGCAATTTTCTTCCACTAATTAGACGTCTAATAAGATGTAGTTTATAATTCTTCAAATGATCATGTACAATAATATTTTAGGAGCATTTATGACCCATTGTTTTTGCTTTATTTCTTGCCAAAACTCCACTGTCTCTAGATTTTTAGTTCAAAACATAATTGAATTTTTCCTCTTAATACGTGGAGAAAATATTGGGATCCCATTAGATCACTAAATTCACCGTTTCGGAACAAAAATGTACACATATTTGAAAACATGTGTTCTAAAATGTAAATCACTCCGGTATTACTATTTTCTGGTAACACTACTACTATCACACTACCATTGTCATTGTCATCATCTGCCATTGCCACGGCCGCCACCACCACTACACAACAAACTAGCACATCATGTTCAAGGTTGCAACCAAACACAAGAAAAAGTTTTCTGTGGAAGTCATTCTCTGAATTGGTTCCAGGAAAATATTTTTCACCGAAAGAAATGGAAATACCAAAAACATCTTTGGCTTTGTTTTCCTAAATGCGATTTCAGTTGTGTCCACTTGACCCAAAATCTTTCAAGGAATGATGGCAGATTTTTATAGTGATATGGTATGTTTATTATCTTGTTGATAGAATAAGTTGAGTGCCCATTCTTAGGACTTAAGGTACACGTGCTTCAAGAGTAAAATACTTTCCTTTAATCCTTATAATGGAGTATTCCCTAAACTGACGTGAAATGAGGAATAAGAAGAAGAAAAAGTAAAAAGTAAAACCAAAAAAAAAAGGGATCATCATCAAATATTTTCTAAATAGAATCAAATTCAAAGGTGATGGACTTGTCAAGAATCACAATGTAGTAAAGGAGGGTAGAATGTATTATTGAATTTGTGGGGGCTTACAGATTAAGGAGCATATTTAAGAGAATACATGAATAAATTTCTGTAACATCTCTTTCTGCAAAAGATTCCAAGCAAAATACTGCGCATATCACCAACAACACGGTCATGACACTGACCAATGTTATAGATTGCGTCATGAGATTCAAGACCTCATTGACAAACAGGTGATTGTACCTCCAGAAAAGCCCAATGTCACAACAAACCCTCTCCCACCACACAACCAAGCTCCACCTCCCAAAAGAATCAACTTCATCCAGACTGGGGTCGTTTCTTACGATCCTAGCATATATATCACTCCTTCCCACCTACCTAAGCCGGAGGTGCTCCTCCCTGACTGCACTGACTCTTTGTGCATGTTGGACATCTCCAGAATCCAACCCGAGCCAATGGTGGTGACTGGCAAAGATAGGATAGAGGAGACTTGAGAGGAGGATGGAATTGTTCGATCAGGGTCTGAACAGTCTGGGAGTGTCGCTAGGGAAGCCTACGATCCGAGTGATTTCATTCTGCCAGCAGGCCAGCTTGAGCCTAATATTGAATTGCCAGAGAGGGCAGAGTTGTGTGTGATCCAAGGAGATGGATTTGAGCAGGGGACAGATGATTTGACGGTTGTGGAAGAGGACTTGGCCAACCTCCAGTTTTTCAACGATCAAGATCCGGGAGACGCGGCAGTCGACTGGTTTGGTTATGAGGAATTGACACAGGCTACTGGGTGGCTTGATGACTTGCCAGATGTTTTTGACGAAGCTCAATTAGAGCAGGGCCTGGCAGGGGCGAACATGTCAGTGGTGGCCGGAAGGGCCGAAAGTCAGAATGAATCGCCGAAAAGCACCGGTGCTAAGAATTCCGCTCGAGACTTAGGCATTATGAATGCGGGAATTGTCGAACAACCAGCTGTACTAACGCAGCTGGAACAAGAAAGGTTTGAGGATGTCGAGAGAATTATGAAAGCTAAGGGCCCTGAGGGGACTGAAAGTGCTGTGTGCACGAAGATAGAGAATGCTGCGAGCATGTGGACGGAGAGTACTGCGAGTGCGATTGAATCGGAGCCAGACAGGTGTCTGTTGGCTGCTGACGGAATGTGGTGGGAAGACGATGATTTATGTCTTGCTCACACGGATGAGGATTGGGGGAGTACTCAGCCAGATGATACCTGGTATATCAGTGAGGTCGATCATATGACGAGAAGTGGGCGGTATTTCAAGCCTCCACACCTAGACCAACCAGAGGCATCTGGGAAAGATAAAGAGGCAGAGAAGCAGAAAGAAAAGCAAGTCAAAAAAGAGGCTGTACTAAAGTAGTTAAAGAAGATACAAGCAGACATCTCCATCTGGGGACTGCTTATGGCATTGCTAGTGCATCGACAAGTTGTCTTATCGGCCATGGATAAGGCCAAGCTCTCTATAGACACCACGCCTGAACAGCTGGTGGGCTTAGTTTTTCCGGGAGGAGCTACCCCGATGTTGACCTTTTCTGACAAAGAACTGCCACCTGAGGGTGTGAACCAAAAAAAGCCACTCTACATCTCTGTGGAGTGCAGAAATAAATGGATACCCGTGGTGCTTGTTGACACAGGGTTCGCCATCAATGTATGTCCCGCGAGGACTGCCTATGCAATCGGCTTGAAGACCGCGGATTTTGTGCCAACTGCCCAGGTGATTCGAGCATACGACAATACAAGCAAAGAAGTCATGGGGACAGCGAAAATTCAGACCAAGGTTGGGCCGGGGCAGCATGAAATTGATTTTCACATCCTAGAGGTTCTCGCCACTTTTAATCTGCTCTTAGGGCGGCCGTGGCTGCATCAAGTGAAGGCAGTTTCTTTTACCTTGCATCAAATGGTGAAATACCCCCATAGAAAGGGAGTAGCCATTGTTTTTCGGAATTCATCGATCCATCCACCGCCGGAAGTATCTACGCCAGTTTTGGAAATTGAGCACGGTATGGAGGATGTGTTCTTATCCGGTTTTACCCTAGCTGAGGCCCGGGTCATGCAGAATATCTTAGCTGTTAATGAGGGGCTGTATGTCAGTGCTCAATCGGTATACCTCATGAACAAGCTTCAACATATCCCCGGGATAGGATTGGAAAAGAGCGGCAGGAAGGGCGTCGCAGCGTCGGCCAAAGTGCCACACAACCCACATACCTTTGGCTTGGGTTATTTTCCCACCAAAGAGGATTGGATAAGGAAGGGTAAAGAGATGGCTGGGAGAGCCAGAGCGAAGAAGGCAGGGAAGCCTTTTGACTTAATGCACCGGCCTATTTAGGGTACCCTAAACGGACGCTTCGTCCGGGAGGGGAAGGACTTTCCGTTCTGTGGCTTCCCAGAGCCGTGGCTGAACGCGGAGAGGAAGCGCGTGCCGGGGTTTGAGATTTTCTTTGGCCTGCAGTTACCCGGGGATGACGTTGCCGAAGAGCAGGCACACCCATTAGCTGAGGTTGAGCAGAGCAAGAAAGTGGAGTCTAAGGACACCAAAAGTGAAATGGGGGTAGCGCTGGCATGTCTACTTTCAGATCCTCCGATCGAATAGAAGTGCTTGGGGGATAACTTCTCGGTATGCATGATCGGGAATGGAACGACTGCGGGCCTACCAGCAAACATTTTGGATTCATCTATCGCACCCTCTCTCATTTGGCAGTATGAAGAGGGATTTTTGTCCAGCAGCACTGGGTCAGGTAGTGAGCCGGAATCTGATTCCACCGAATCTAGTGAGTGGGAATTAGGTTCCAGCTCGACTGAGTCTGAGTCTGGTAATCCTGGGGATGATAACCCGGATGCCACAGTCTTGTCCAGGTCATCTTTTTCTTTTTCTTTTGAGTCTGTTGTAACCGAAGAATTGGATGATTTGGATGTGCTTAATGAGAATCAAGTAGCTGTGGTTTCTGAGTACTTTTCTGTGCCTTTGATTTAGTGCATTAATTCAGACTTTCAAAATTTTGATGAAAACGACGAGGAAGAAATTCCTCCGATTTTGCAACGCTTAATTGAACA